CATTTATTATAAATAATAATTGTCACATGTCACAAATAAAAAAAAAATAGACGATAAAGAAACTAATTACACCAATAAACAGATGAAAATAAAAAAGAGAAAATTAAAGGAAAATCCTAGTTACTCACTTTGCTAGTACAGTGATTGTACAGTGATTGGATTGTCTATTCCCTGGGCTCTGAGAAGGAAAATGGCAATTTACTCAAATTTAGATTTTGACCATAGCAAGTACAATAGTAATTGGCATGTCATATATTATATACTCTTTGTGTGCCCATTTGAAATTCTAAGCTGGCCCCAGAGGAGTTAGAAGGCAGAGGGTGATGACACATTCCGATCTTTTTACACACACATTTATATGAGAGTTTGAAAATGGGTCCTTATCTCTTCTTGTACCCCTCGTACAGATATATATTTTTTTATAAAGAGCATTGCCATAAATCCCCATTCCAGAGATACCTACCAGTACCTATATGCAGTATAGAATAGCTGACTTAATTGTATTTAAGCTACACTGGTCATGTTGGGACTATTTATGTAGGCATTACCCTAAGTATTCTGAATACGGTATATGTAATTGGAGGCACAGTTTTTTTTCTCTGGACTATTATGAATGTTTTTTTACATGACTCTTTGCAGAGAACTTGGCTCCTTACTTTTAATGTCGCGAATAGCAAACAAAAGGCTAAATGTATTTATTTAATTGATTATTGGGGTATTTCCCTTTGACCTTTCCCCATAAAATGTGTAACAAGTTACATTTGTGACCCCATGTAGTGTGATAGTCTTGTTCCCCTCTGCTAACCCATGTTACACATAGTAGATAACTGGAGAGAATTTTACGTCTTAGTCAATGCCAAGTTAGCAACCTAGTGTGTTTCATATAATGTGCCATTAAAGCCAACATGGTGGGAATCGTTCGTAAGTCGGAAATTTTTGTCTCACTATTTTACTGCTTATTTTTCTGCAAACATATCTCACTAACAATATTATTATACGCAGCCCCAAGCTGTAGCTAAATAAATAATGTAAAAGTAGGGTCAAGGATTGTGACCAGAACAAATTGAACCTTAATCCAACGCATCTCTCTATTTATGTAAAAGGACACTTGACTATTTCATCATAAAACATTGCAAAAACAAGTAGCATGCAGCCAATTAAATTCATAAAGTATCTGCTTATTGATTCTTGTTCATAATATGCATCAATCTTTAGCTGAAACTTTGTATCATTCAATAAATTAAATTCTAAAGAACTATTTGAAAGGAAGTGGAGTGCGCTTTTCAGTCAGGTATACATATTTCAAAGCAACAATAACTGGAAAAATAAAAAATGAGTAAAAAGTGATTTCTATTTTTTTTTTTTTTTAAAGGAGAGAACTTTTGTCTAAATATTATTATTTGTATGTTATGATTAGAGATGTCGCGAACTGTCTGCCGAACTGTTCGCGAACTGTCCGCTGGCGAACAATAGCGTGTTCGCGTTGGGCGAACATATCCGATTTCCTGTCCGCCCCCTATACGTCATCATTGAGTAAACTTTGACCCGGAACCTCACAGCTTCCGGGTCAAAGTCTATTTTAGAATTTCTGGAATGATTTGTAAGATAAGGAGAGACTTTTTTTTTTTTTAAGATTTCCAATACAAGTTTCCATAAACTCACTGTGCTATAGCAAAAGAGAGAGAAAGAGAGAGACAGAGAGACAGACAGAGAGAGAGAGAGACAGAAATAGAGAGATATAGAAAGAGAGAGAGAGAGAAAGAGAGAAATAGAAAGAGGGAGAGAGACAGAGAGAGATTATGAGAGAGAGAGAGAGAAAGAAATAAAGAGAACGAGATAAAGAGAGAGAGAGAAAGATAGAGAGAGAAAAATGGAGAAAGAGAAAGAGAGAGAAAGAGAGAGAGGCACTGCGGAACTACCGCCATGTGTTGCGGCCCCGGTCGGCGGTAGTAGAACCACCGGGGCCACACGTTAAAGGTCCCATCGGGTGGTCCATGCTGTTAGGGCCACCCGGTGACAATGAATATCCAGGGTGCCCTGGTCAGCGCTGCGGCACTTTAATAGCATGACAGAGCCCCCTGTGATGACGTCAGATGCTGTGAGGACGTGACTGGCCCGGTCACTCGTCCCAGCTATCAGAGAGAGCCATGCAGGAGGAAGTAGAAGGAGTCAGAATGGGAACTCTGACTCCCATCAGCCTGAGCCAGAATGTAACATTCTTCTTCTTTCGCTGGGTAAGTATATTAGTACTTAGGCAATACTGTGCTTCGGAACTTCGTCACTTTGGCACTTTGACACTTCAGAACTTCGGCAACTTCGGCACTTCGGAACTACGGAAATTTGGTCATTTCGGAACTTCAGGACCTCGGCACTTCGGCAATTCGGACATTCTGAAGTACCCGAATGTCCGAATTACCCGAAATTCGTCCGATTTCATATTCGGATCGAAACGAATTGCACATGTCTAGTAAGGAGGGAGGGGAGAAGTAGACCTATGGGTGGGGGAAGTAGACAAATGGGTGGGTAGACCTATGGGGGGGACCCCAGGGCAATTTTCGCACTGGGGCCAGTGGTTTGTAGTTATGCCTCTGGAGAAAGAAAGAAAGAAAGAAAGAAAGAGAAAGCTGCTGCTTATACTGAAATGGTTAAGTCTCAGCTACTTCACTGAAGCAATGAAAGCTTCCAGCCATTGATCAATGTTGCTGACTAGCACATGGCCTCAATTATAGATTCAACAAGATAGTGGATCCTTAACAACTCTATCTGCTGACCTCGGTCTACATCATACATTTTTATAGCATTACTGGCTGATTTGGTGAACAGAACGCAGGTTGACTTTGTAATGTCAGTGCGAAATCTGGCTTGATAATTCTATCTCATATTTTGCACAAATTCCATTTATTTAATTGTCGTTATGCATTGCATTCACTGCTGGGATAATAATAGATTTTAAATAACATTTTTTTTTTGTCCTTTCACTTTCCAAGGCTTGACAGAAGACCATAAAGTTGTAATATGATTCTTTACCTTTCATTTTTCGGTCCAGAGATACAGGCTTGTAAATTTGCGTGCATTTTACCACTTTGAAAGTGTCTGTCAGTTAATTTCATGGATGGAATGGGAATCAGTCTAACCATTTAATTTTATAATTTCTAATAAGACATTGCAAAATATAAAAATTCTGTAGAAAAGTCTTTGATATCCATGTTTCTATTAAAAATGTTGATGCTAGAGGAGTACAGTTAGTTACGGTAAATATGACAAACGAAATGTAAAATCATTTTTTAGAAATATATACTTGAGTAAAATTTATTATTAGGTCAACAGGATGTTGTTTAATGTTATGAAATACTCTTTTACCATCCCCGTACAATAGGTTAACCTTAAAGGATTGGTTTGACAGAAATCCACTGACTATCCTATTTTCAGCTCACATAATAATATGAAATGTTTAGTTTTTTTCATTATCAATATCAGTTTCGACACAACCTGAGCACAGTCATGGACTGGATGCTTATACTGCCCCTTTAAATACAACATCTCCTAATAATTTAATGTAATGGCATACAGTATCAAAGTATTAAACCCCAGCATATTAAATATGGTGTTGCATGCTTGTTACTGCAGATAATAATCTTGTTATAACAGTATTTAAATGCTTCTAGTTGGAATAATCGTAAATGGAACAAAAAGAGCAGAGTTTGCTGTATATATAAAACACAAACTCTTACTTGCAAAACACCCATTGACACTCTAGCTATTGTTAAAGTGGAACTGTCTTTTTTTTTGTTGGAATTTTTTATTTTTGTCGTGCAGTTGGTTACAAGAAATTGACAGACGCCACAACAGCGTATTGCAAGAGTTACAAGATTTAGGTAGTGGCATTAGGGTTTGCACATTTTTATACATATTTTTATCAGGTTTGACTATACGGTTAGGACATCAGAGTGAAGATAAAAGTATATAAAATAATTAATGCTTAACAACGCTATTCTAGCTATGTCATTTTAGTTATGATGTCACAGGCTAGACATGCTTGCACATTTTTATGTTAAGCACAGTTTCTATCATGCTAATCAGGGATGTCTAGGTTGGGTGAGCTTGTAGCAGGTACGTGAGTAGTTCTAGACAAAAGTATTAGATAAATAATAAATGAGAAAATAAAAATTATAACTAAACAAGAAAACGTGCATTTTAGTTTATGTTTCACTCGATTTAAGTTTTGCACAACATGCCTATTCTGGTACATATGCTATCACTAAGCGTTAAGATGAGGTTTAGAAAAGGTATGCTGGTATATCATGTGTTACAGGGTAAGTGTAACAAGTAGGTAACATGCTAGAGACATTTTATATATATGAACCGCTGAGTGATGTAAAAAGAAGCATAATCAACATAAATTACAACCAAACTCTACAGCACTGGAAACTGATGAAGGAAGACATTTGCAGCTGATGGTCCGCCGACACCGCAGTCTGGTAAGGAGATAGAGTTGATCGCCATGTCACGGCCTGGGCCTCCTCCTGTCCCCTCTAGACCAGTTAGGAAAAGGTGGTTACCCAGTCCGTGGAGTGGATTGTGGGCTGTGATTCAGTATTAGAGACGATCTTCGTGCCCGGGCCTGGGTAGAAGTCATGTCCCTGCATCCAAGAGTCACCCTGCAATGTGCGGTAGGACTGAGTCCAGCATGCTTGAACAGGTTGCTCTGGTGTAGTGCCTCTCTGAGGCCATTCCTGACCGGTCGTTGGGACCATGGCGTGTAGGCTTTCTGTCCCGCATATCCGTCACTGCTTACTCAAAGTCCTCCTTCTGCTGGATAATTACTGACAGGGATCCCCCTGGGCAGTTTGCGGTTTAGGTAAGGGGTAGCTGGCTTGGAGGTTGTGCCGTTGAGGTTGGTGTTCAGATTTCACCACCTGTCTATGTCTACACCTCGGCGGTATCACCCGAGGGACACGCAGCCGGGGCTGCTCCAAGCATCGTGTTTTGGTAGGTTGGCACTAATGGATCGGAGACTGTCCGCTCTTTTGCCGCTTTGTCCCAGGTTGTGTGCATGAATTTTCAGGATCCTGTACAAGCAGGTCCGCCATGAGCGTAGGCTGTAAGCAGGCCTTCAAAGAAGCGGGCCCAGGCCTGGCGGCCATCTTGTTTTGGGCCCTGAGGTCATGTGGCAACATGTTATTGCCTCCGAGTGTTGGTATGGGGCGAGGACCGGGATCACCCCCCTGTCCAGAGGGGGCTATCGGGACCGGGTCCACAATGGTGTAGCTTGTCTGTTGAGCTCCGTTGGGCAGGATAATGGAGCGGCGGCCGTCCACTCCACTCACCGCCCCGTCAAGGTCCCGTCTGGTACAGCAGAGGTCTTTCCCCCGAGGGACTAAAACTCCAGGAGCAAGCCTCTCCTCGGCTCCGGTGGCCCCTACAAACTGAGGGTCGCAGTTGTGGGTCATTTAAGATATTGAAAAGCTCGATTTTTAGGCTTAATAGCAAATGGTTTGCAGGAGCTGGCACCGCCCCCCGGAACTGTCTTTTCTATAAAAATTACACTATTGTATCTAAAACATTGAAAATATATCACTCATTTTTAACTTGTTTCATACAATGCTCCATTTTCTTTTAAAATGTTCATTTAAGCTTTAGCAAAAAAAAATACAATCCCCTTCAGTCTAGGTATAGTCAGGGCACACAATGCAAATGAGGAGGAAAGCAGAAACATTGTGTTGTTTTTCTCTCCAATAACTAGGTTCAATGGCTGAAAAAGGCAATATTTATAACAGTGTATGACCGGGATCCAAAATAGAGGCACCTAGTTCCAGGATAGATGGGTAGTGCAGTTTTATACATTTCATTTTTAGGTGATAAGTAATCCGAATCTTAAAAATGCTGGGGAGTGACAGTTCACTTTTAACTTCAATTACCATAATTCTTAGCCACCTCTTTGATCATCAATCCCTTTTCTCACCTTTAATGTTATCTCTCTCAGTACAAGAACACCAGGTGATACCACTGACAGGTGATTTACTTACTATATAGTATACGGTGATCACTGGCTGCTAGAACTAATCTGATCTTTGTGCTAAAGGTAGAAATGCACAATTCACACTCTTTCACCATGTGAATCTGCTGTATCACCAGATGTTGTGATCGCAGCAAACAATGTATCTGTAAGCAGATCAATTCAACAAAATACCAGTGTTGTTGAATGGACAGTAAATCAGATTTACAAAGTAATGAATTATTACAAATATTGAACTGATATCAAACACACTGAGCAATATAAAAAGGCACACAGTATTGGTAATGAATTAACACAAATATTGAACTCATATCAAACAAAGAGAAATATAAAAAGACACACAGTATTGGTAATTAATTAATTAATAAAAATATTGAACTCATATTAAACATTGAGCAATATAAAAAGACAAGTATTGATAATTAATTAATAGAAATATTTATCTCATATCAAACAATGAGCAATATGAAAATACAACTGTTGGTACATTGATTTATATAGATGTATCAATAAAAATAAATTAGTCATGCAAATTAATTAGAAGCACTGATAGCCACAATGGTACCTTGAAGAATGTCTAAATTCATATCACTCTATTTACCACTGTACAGACATGTTAATCCTTGTTAAAAGCTCTGTCCTTTGTGCCTTTGCTCTGTATGAGGGCACAGCGAGTTCCTGTTTGTCCTCCAATGCAATGTGTGCCCTGACTGTGCATGAAATGAACTGGATTGTTCGGTCAATGGCTTAATCTTAGCTTATAGGGACTCTATAGTTACCCAGACCACTTCATCTCAAACAAGTGGCCCATGTGCAGTGATCTTCTATGTTTAACCCTGCAATAATACGCAACGTATCAGTATTTAGAAACTGCAATGTTTACTAACAGCCCCCAGAGGCTATTCTGCTGGACTGATCGTGTAAAACTCAGTCATAGAAACATAGAAACATAGAATGTGACGGCAGATAAGAACCATTTGGCCCATCTAGTCTGCCCAATTTTCTAAATACTTTCATTAGTCCCTAGCCTTATCTTACAGTTAGGATAGCCTTATGCCTATCCCACGCATGCTTAAACTCCTTTACTGTGTTAACCTCTACCACTTCAGCTGGAAGGCTATTCCATGCATCCACTACCCTCTCAGTAAAGTAATACTTCCTGATATTATTTTTAAACCTTTGTCCCTCTAATTTAAGACTATGTCCTCTTGTTGTGGTAGTTTTTCTTCTTTTAAATATAGTCTCCTCCTTTACTGTGTTGATTCCCTTTAAATATTTAAATGTTTCTATCATATCCCCCCTGTCTCGTCTTTCCTCCAAGCTATGCATGTTAAGATCCTTTAACCTTTCCTGGTAAGTTTAATCCCACAATCCATGTCATGTGTTGTGGAAGCTCATAGGGAAGCATTGAATACAATGGTCTTCTAGGGGAAAGCTTGAATGTGCACACAGCACTTTCCGAGCATGTGCATCAGGCTTCAAATATTCATCTTTGGACCATCTCTGAGGTATCCATGCGTGCTTAATGACATCAGGGGAGGTGAAGTGGTAAGCAGTACAGAGGGAGCCTTGGTACTGGAAAAAGGTAAGTAAATAATTTATTTGATACATTTTTATGGCAAATGGGAGTCCTTACTATAACTAGGAATGAGACACTAAAGCATTAGGAATACATTAAAGCCTATGTTTGAAATGAACTGAGCACCATATGAATAAAAAAGGTTAACACAAGGTGATTTTGAATGTTTTGTTCAAACATATCATTTCTTATTAAACAAATTATAATATACTATAGCCCACCGTTTTGCCACTATGCTATAATAACCATTAATTGTACCATTAGACAATGTTTTACTTACGTATTAGGTTACCCAATTTTAATTATGTTTCACATAACAGTATTTAAGTATTAATTTGTGTACATGATGTTTAAAAGCATTAGATGGTATTTAAAATAATTAATTTTGGGCTCAAATGGGAAGAACTGATAAATCTATAATGTTGTACAAGTGATTTCCCAATGATATAGAAATTAAAGTTAAGATTATCTAACATTAGGTAGCAAAGCAAAATAGCTTGGTTATTGTAATTCACATTCTCTTGAGCAATTAAAATGCTGTTCATTGGGAATAAGCTAATTAAGAGAACAAAAAGGTGGTACATGAATTTATTATTTATACTGCGTAGAAGCAGAAACATTTTATGTGCAAAAGTCCCTTTGCAACTCTAACAGCTTCCATTCTTCTGGGAAGGCTTTCCATAAGATGTTGGAGTGTATCTATGGGGATTTTTTGCTCATTCATCCAGTAAAGCACTGGTGTTGTTCAAGAAGGCCTGGCTAGCAATATCCATTCCAGTTTACCCCAAAGATGTTCGATGGGGTTATGGTCAGGGCTGTACGTGGGCCCGTCAAGGTCTTCCACACCAAACTCTACCAAACATGTATTTATGAACCTTACTTTGTGCACTGTTGCACAGCCATGCTGAATAAGAAAAGGGCCTTTCCCAAACTATTCCCATAAAGTTGGAAGCATAGGATTATCCAAAATGTCTTAGTATACTGAAGTATTAAGCTTTCCCTTTACTGAAAAACAGCCCCATACGATTATCCTTCCTCTACCAAACTTTATATTTGGCACAATGCAATAAGGACAGTAATATTCTCCTGGCATCCGCCAAACCTAGGCTAACCCATCAGACGGCCAACAGAGAAGAGTGATTTGCCACTCCACAGAATGTTTCCAGTGCTTGAGGGGCCAGTGGTGGTGTACTTTACACCACTCCATCCAACACTTGGCATTGAACTTGGATCCACTCCATCCGACACTTGGCATTGTACTTGGATCCACTGGATCCAACACTTGGCAGTGTACTTGGATCCACTCCATCCGACACTTGGCATTGTACTTGGATTCACTCGATCCAATACTTGGCATCGTACTTGGATCCACTGTACTTGGAAGTTTGGAAATATTCAGTTCTGGAATCAGCAGAGCGCTGGTGACTTTTATGTACCATGCGCCTCAGCACTCGGTGACCCTACTCTGTGTTTTTACGTGGTCTTCCACTTTGTGGCTGAGTTGCAGCTGTTCCTAAATACTTCCACTTTCCAATAATACCAGTTACTGTTAACCGTGAAATATCTAGCAGGGATAAAATTTCACAAACTGACTTATTGCAAGGGTGGCATCCTGTCACAGTACCACATTGAATTCACTGAGCTCTTCAGATGAACTAATTTTTTTCACAAATGTTTGTAAATGCAGACTACATGACTAGGTGCTTCATTTTATACACCTGTGACAATGGCCCTGATTGAAACACCCAATTTCAATAATTAAGAGGTGTGTCCCAATACGTTTGCCCATATAGTGTATATAGACGTGTGTGTAACAATCAGGGCTGGATTAAGAGCCCAATGTGCTTGTGCTGACAAATATGATGGGTCAAATTACAGAATCTTATGGACAGAAAGCACTAAAACAGTTATACCTCCCAAGCGTCATGTATCTGGTGGAGGTGGTGCTGGAGGGAAACTCACAGGATATAGCTATCAGAAAACACATACCCTATGTTAATCTATCGTTTCATCTTTCAAATAAATCCATACCCCCTAACAGCATTGCCTGGAGAAGCAGGATTTCGGTGGGCGGGGTAAAAGGGTGGGCCACTAACGCGAATCACATAACCAGAACGTAAAGGGGTGTGCACGAAGAAGTAGATAGTCAGCCTGGCGTTAATGCACGTCAGGCTGCGTGCCAATTATGCAGGATAACCAACCAAGGGCATACTGTGCAGACAGCACCCTGATCTTGTCATACATGCGTCTAATGATGCACTAGCGCTACATTTTCTAAAGACTGTCCCCTAGCACTCACTGATCCACTCCTCTCCTAACCTTCTCACTAGCAGGCAGAAGCTCCTGTTATATAGTCTGGGACAGAGAAAATCTGTATGTAGTGAGTGTAGAAGAAAGGGGACATGCCACAGTGTTAGAGAGACTGAAGTAGCAAGAGTATTTGCATTATGCGCAAAGTCAGCTTTACCGTAACTAATTTCATTGTCAGCCAGTCCACACAAGTTTTGTTCCCCTAAATCCCTCTTAAGTTTCCATACTTAAGCAAGAGCATGTGAAGAGTAGTAAAAAAAAATATTTCCAATTTTTTTTAAATCAATCGGCATATTCCATAGGCATGGGCCTGGAGCTGCAGCTCCATCAACCCCCATGTTAATCCGATAACAATGTATCTGTAAATATATTATATGTTAGACTTGTACACAAATCCTATAAAACAGCAACAAACAAATCAAATTCCTGTTAATCTATGCCCAAACAAATCGTTCCGCCGCGTAAATCTGGACAGATCGATTGGTTCAGGAAGGTGAAAACGATTTGTACTCAAGTCTATTTTTTATGTATACTATACTATGTGT